AGGCTAGTAAGAATGTGTTGTTTTGGTGTTAGGAATATTGTTTGTATGCTTGGATCAGTGCTTGTGGCTAGCTAAGTTTAAAATTAAGACAGATGAAGACCGTCCTTTTATCCATCCACTTTTTTAGGCCTGGTGTTGTAACCTAGGGAAGGTTACTGAATAGAATAATCAAACGAAGGTTGGTAATGAACGATAATACTTAGGACAAGAACAACACATATAAGATTCGCCAGCGGCGCGTAGAAGTAGTAGTCAACTGCTAGAAATGAGTTAGGTGAATTCCAAAATGAATCTCCAACTGCAGGTTCTCTACCAATCGCCCCACGGGATCAAATATGGCACAAGGCCGAATTTGATGTGGGTTATCCGAGTCCATGGGCTCGGCCAAAAAATAGACCCCCCCATATAAAACGGGGTCGGGTAGCTGTTTCCCGAGACGAGACTCTGCCCTTCGACATAGCCTCGTCTGGGGATCCTCTCTGCACGGAAGCCGAGAGTTTGACTAGCACAGCTAGAGACGAAACTGCAGACCAACATACAGTATTTACTACTGTATTTATGTGAATGGGACATGACCATTATCATCCGTAGGTATGCTACAACACTTGGTATTCTCAGCATATTTCCGTGGAACTACATTTCTATTGCTTCAAGTCTCTTCTTCATCTTTCAGTCGATTGTCCAGCATTCACTGAGTTATAGGAGGATAAATATCACATAACAATACAGAACACATTTCTTTGTTTTTAACAAAGGTAAAAGCACTGACTTTAATGTTCTTAATTTAATTTCACAATTTTTCAATATATTATTGTTGCATTTTATTACAGCTGATTTGATACATTCTTCGATGCTAAAAAATAGAGAAAGTCTTTCATATCTTATACCACGAGATTGCGTCTTTTTTATAACTGCTTGACTCACTTAAATCCAGAATTTTTTTTTCAGATCCTAAGATTTTTTGGTGTGGTGGGGGTATAATAATGATTTAGTGATACAATTCTTACGCATAACTGGGGGAGGTAAAGTGGATTTTATCAGGAGTATTTGCGCGTAATTGAGTATAACAAACTTAACTGGAATTAGCACTCGGCTCTCCCATTAATAATTAACCAGCCGCATATCCGAGCTTACAGTACCAGTTACTTCCAAGCAGTCACCCATCTACGTACTGACCAGGCTCAACGTTGCTTTGAAAAGTCCCCTTTACTTGGTCGTAAAATAAAAATTGCGTAAAAACCGGGTTCATTTCAAGAGAAAGTGAATCGGCTGTGTCAGGCTTCGACATTATGCGAAAATCTGTTGAATTAGTCGTAAAATATTGCAGCAGAACATTTGTTTTTGTGTTATTTTACAATCGTTGTGAGGTAATTCAATCTACCCTTTTCTCAAATCAATTTCCGTGTCATTCAATGGACTTATGGTCGCAAAAGCGACTTTTGACAAGCAACAGCCTAGAGCTGTCAAAAAATCATCCACTTCCAAGATATCAGGTGAAGACCTATTCTACTTTGTATGAGTCTTTAGACATCCTTCCAACATTTATTCCAGCACAATATTTTGGTCGATATATTCTACGGCTTTCTACCGGTGTAAATTTCATTAGATTCAGAAATGGCAATTTACTTAGCGTAGCTTAAATGCGGCACAAGGCCGGAATTATGAAGCACCCAGTGAGGATAGAACTCGTTGTCCAGTCGTAATTTATCTAAGGAAACAAGCTTGTTAACTATTAAAACACATAGAGGTGCCCGAATCATATTTAAATATGAACATTCGAACTATTAATCTCATTCTTTTCTCTTACGATACAGTATTTTGGCCGATATATTCTACTGCTTTCTCCCGGTGAAAACGCATTAGTTTAGAAATGGAAATTTACTAAGCGTAGCTTAAATGTGGTACAAAGGCAAAATTGTGAAGCACTTAATGAGGATCGAACTTTCTACCCATTTCTAATTGATCCAACCTGTCAGGTTCGTAATCCCAACTCAGTTGTAAATGATCTCGCGAAACAAGTTACTAACCTTTTCATCACGTCGATAATTACTGGTAGATCTTTTAGCTCTCTCAGGAATGTTTTGCAAATGGATTTACATTAAAAATGCACGATTTTGTTATTGTACGATTTTGCCTTCCGCAAGTATGGCTGATGCTAACCATACTAGAGTGACTTATTGCACCTTGTTGGACTGTTTTTGGCTGATATGAAGTGGAAAGATTATATTGAATCTATTGTTAGGTCTTCTGCTAGACTGTTTCGAGCTAGACAATTTTTCTCTCCAGAACCTATCCTACATATGTATACTTAAGTCTACCCTTCGGTCTATACTTTGAATATTGCTACAGCATCTGATTTGGTGCTCCTGGTATATATTTAGAAGTTATTAATAAAATCTAAAGAAGAATCTGCAATGTCATTGGTCCTAACGTGGCATCTCGGCTTCAGTCCTTTTCCCAGTGCCGTAACGTAGTTTCCCAGTGCCGTAACGTAGTTCCCTGTGCCTTTGCTATATATACTTTGATGGTAAATTTCCGCTACGGTAACTAGATTTTATGAATTTAAGCGTAGTATCAGATTGTCGGTAAGGTATCATCATTTTACGGTTGAAATGGCTAGATGTAACCGTAAGTTCTATGCTAAAAGTTATTTCTCTCGAATTTCACGCTTCAACTCTCTTAGGGCCTCATGCTTCTCATTCAACTTTGATGTTCAAACATTAAAATGTAATTTCAATCGTTATATTCTTTAGTTTTGTTCTTTTATTGTTCTCTCTCCTTAATAGTGTTTTTCTCCTCATATTCTCAAACACACAGCAACCCCTTGCGTCTTAGTGGCTTTATTGCTTTGCTTGGGGTGAAATGATTAAAAAGTACGTAATCCATTGGTATTCATAAACACAGAAATAGTTGATAGTCAAGAATGAATTAAACTGTTAGTGACAGAATAGATTAAGTTGTTTTGATCTTACGATATATAACCATTGCCGGGTTATTCAGTATAGTTTTTAGTCGTTTTTTTTTCTTTTTTAGTTTTTTGTTTGTGTTTTTTTCACCCAGTAAAAATAGATCTCCATCCTCGGTAGTAATTATCAAGCGAACTAAAACCATTACCAGACACAAAGGCGTCTTCGGTAGCATCACAAGATGAGATTGTGTACAATAGTCTCTTACGAGTTACCTCCCCTGGTATGAATAGCAAAATAAAAACAATTTATACCCTTAGTTTAAATAAAAAGTTTGATTTGAACTTTCCACAGTATTAAACAAATTGGCACCTGATGAACGTCGGGTTGTACAATGGACGAAATAATGTGACTATAGCAACCAAAATAGAAGACAACTTTTCTAATGGACCAGTGTATAATAAAACAAGAAGACACAGTTGTTTTTCTCTGTTGGTAATAAACGTTTTAGATTGTTTAAATTAAAAACACAAGTCAAAGAGGTTGTCTTATTAGTCGCCAGCTTCGTAGTAACTGTTTAAAAGCAAAAAAAAAAAAAAAGAATAATGATAATAATAATAAAAAGCGATGAGAAATGCTGTGGGAATTAAAATAGTAGGGCTGGACCGATTGCTGTTTACTTTGATTTGCGATCGTGCTTAAAATAAATAAATATTCTTCTCTGAAGTGAAACAAATTTCCAACATAGTTGGCAAGTTCAATCTGAAACAGATGTGACCAATGAGAATGAAGGCAACTTCTGCTCTCCGACAGCGGAGTCTAATTCCAAAGACGTTCCATTCATAATTAAGTCGAAAAAAAAATAGTTAAATTGGAAATAACTGTATGCTTTATTAGTTTAATAATGGCTGCTCTAATTATTTCCTCACTATGAATAAATCCAGCACTTAGGCCGGAAAATCTTTATTTCATTTCTCCAATTTCATGCGGTCTATGTGTAAAACTAAACTTAATATTTATGTTTATGTTTCCGCTGTCAACAAGATGGCTGACATTTCAGATAAGTCGTTTTTTTTGTTTATTTTTTTTTTGTTTGTTTATTTGGAGTTTTTGTTTTGGAACCTAAGAAAAACTAAGAGATTTATTCTTATGTAATAGTTCAATAGATTCATCTAATACCGGAAGTTCTTGCAGAGTTTCAGACACGTTGTATATTTGATGACGGATGTGTGACGTTTTAACGACATTGCTATAACGCTGCAATCAACTATTTTCTCGAGCCCGTACCCAACCGTTCATCTCCAACATTGTCATAACATTATGCTAATGTTATGAAGTGTTGTAACCGAAGAATTCAGCACTGATCAAATATAAAATAGAATACTTTTTATTCTCTTGGCAATATGTATAAATTATGTAATGGTTAACAAGTTGGTCTTGCTTGATCAATTACGAGTAGCGAGTTCGATCCTCACTGGCGCTCCATGCATTTGGCCTTGTGCCACATCTAAGCTCCGCTTATAAAATCATTTTGGGCAACTCGACATTGTGTATTGGTTAGCAAACTTGTCTCACATAACAATTAAAACTGATTAGTGAACTCGATCCCCCCTGGTCGCTCCATACATTCGACCTTGTGCCACATCTAAACTACGCTTATTATAAGGACACTTTGACGTGGTGTACTGGTTATCAAGCTTGCCTCGCTTGAATAGTTGCAACGGATTAGTGAGTTCTATCTTCGCTGGGTGCCCCATATTTTCAGCCTTGTACCACACCTAAGCTACGCTGTGAATATCATAAGTATATAACATATAAAAATTTTTTTTAAAAAATGATTGATTGATTCGTTTTTTTATGGTTTAACAACCCTTTGCAACTTATTTTAAACCAGAAAATATTTTTATAATTAACATTTTTTTAGATAATAATATCTTAGTGATACAAGTCTTATTAATTAACCCATAACTTGAGGGAGAAGAGGTGGATTCAAACCTTTATTTGCGTGTAAGTGTATGTAACAAACCCGACTGAAAATAGAACTCGGCTCTCCTATTCATTATTCGATCCTTTACACCATCCGCATATACAATCTTGCATCCCCTGATATTCTCAAACGGGCACCCATCTGGGTACTGTCCAGGACCAGTGTTGCTTAACTTCGGTTATGGTATGGGAACCGGTATTTCAATGGTATGTTGCCTTATTTTTAAATTGAGAATTACTAATCTACACCATGAATGCCTGGATTTTTAATACAATTTTTGTTAACTTAAAGGTAGAGGTCAATGTATTTGGAACGCTAGCGTAACTTCGCGGAAACGTCATTTTGTTTGATGGTTAGAATCACAATTCTGTCACTTTGTGTCTATTCTTCATTTGGAGGGAAACTGACCAATACCCATTACCATAGAGCAGTGTTTCTCAACCGCTGTTCCCCAGAACCCTACTGTTCTGCAAGAGGTCACTAGGGGTTTCGCGAGAAACCTTGATAAGATAATGCATTTTTGAGTGATTTTTAATTTTATATTTTAATATATGCATACGGCATATCGTTGGAAAATCCTTGCTTATTATAAAAAAAGGCTTCAACCTCTTATATTATTTAAATTTATGATATTTATAGGGAATGTATTTAGGAATGTCTACATGGCGTCTTTATGAAACCGCCTTCACTGGTTAGTAGACAGGACCTATAAATTGTAATGCATGGATGGGTCGTGAATCGGATTAGGTAGGTATAGTTGGTATGTAGTTAATGTTGACCAGTCTTACCCCATTTCTCCTTTTTCGCCTTTTGTCACAATTTTTGTATTTTTACAATAATAAATAAATAGTAGACAAGACTTGGACGTGGTGGATTCGTGTATCATTGGGTGCCTCACTCGAGTACAGGACGCATGCACCTGTGTGCATATATTGTTTAGCACGTGATCTCCGATAAAAAATATATAAGCTATAGATATTAATAATGGTATATAATAGTAGTTATACAGAGTTTCCCTGAGACATGAAAACTGTTTCAAGGGTTCTACAAGTTCATGTCTTAGGAAACCCTGCATGAAAATTATATACCATTATATTATATATTCGTCCGTGTAATACTGATGCTATACCTGGTCTGGTGCTCCTGTTGTATATCGGGAGATTCTTGACAAAATTCAAAGAAGGAGTCTGTAATTGTTGTGACCAAATAAATGGTTAACGAAATAACAAAACAAGTGTTGCAGATATATCATATATTAACAGTAAGTACAACAGAAGTGTATTACACAGCTAGTGAGTGTGTGTCGGATGACCCAGCATTCAATGTATTCGACTGTTCCTCCGGGGCCTTCTCTCCTACTAATCTTATAGTAGGCGAAAGAGTCCAACATAGACTCTTTAGAGGGAGGACACCACAACAGTAATGTAACAGTTCTCATCCCTAAAATCTTCTCTTTCTCTTTCACTCAATGTGTCATAGTGATATTATTGCCTTGCTTGGGGTGAAATGATTACAAAAAACATATTACTAATTTGATTATTGATAATTTAAGTCTTAAAAACTAATACAACGAAGATTACTTTGAACTTTTCACCGACTGGACACACAACCCTACGTTATGCATGTACTCTCATTCATTTCGGCATGTACAAAAACTGGGAAAGGCTCGCCGTACTTTCACTGGTACGATATTATGCCACGGCGAGAAATGAACACAAATCGTGTTTTCAATAATTAGTCTATTAATACAAGGATTCACTTGTCCAGTCTGTGGGTAGCAGAGCTCTCTCTCTCTCTCTCTCTCTCTCTCTCTCTGTCTCTCTGTCTCTCTCTCTCTCTCTCTCTCTCTCTCTCTCTCTCTCTCTTACACAACTCGGCTCATATCTACATTATGACACGTGGCTGGAAACTTGAACGGACATGATAGGAACTACCATGAAGAGCAGCCTAACTACTCCCTTGTGATTGTTTATATAAGTCAGTGAACGGAAATATGTAGCTTCTGACAAAGTAGCACTTGATCCCAAATATTTTCATTTATTTATTTGTTATTTAATTCCATTTTTTCCAACTGGGTGGTCGCTTTGAAGACCCCATTCAGCAAGCTTTAGTGCGGGTCATGCAAGAAACACTTACAACGGAGATAAAATCCATGAAGGGGTCTCAATCAGGACCGTAGTATTTCATTTGGGTTGGGGTTAGGGTTATTGGGAGAGGCCTATATTTTTTATAAACCTATAATTAATGCCGTAATCTTATTTTTATTTTTATAATCAATGCATTACTTTACGGTAGGCATTAATTAATTAATTCACTTTTCATTTATTTACTCCAAGACTCATTGAAAGTTGTTAAAAGATTTGACAAATGTTAATAAGCGGGAATTTTGACAAACTATGTGATGATGATGATGATGAAGAAGAAGAAGAAGAAGAAATTCTTCTTGAGCAAATGGAGCAGTAAAAGACATAGAAATTCCATATATGGACCTTTTACAGTGCCATTTGCACATATAACAGAGAATTCATGGGTGATACATGTAAGCAACGGGAGAGTTTTAAGGAAAATGGAAATGAAAAGAAAACTTATACTTAGTATTTAAAAAAAATAGGCAGCTAAAAATGTTTGGAACACAAAATGAGGAAAGTGATCTTCGAGACTTTAACACTCACAGGACATATTGAAATCAAATGAGAAAGAAGAAAACAGCAAGTAAAAAACCTAACGAACTCATGTAATGAGATGGGATTATATATAATTAATGAAATAGTAACGGGACAAATATTGCTTACCCAAAATAAGAAGTTGGGGATAATCCTGATCACCCATGTCATTAACAGACTCGGCATGTAAGGGTAGAACAAAGATCATTTGATAGGTTATTTCTGGTTTTATATCCGCATTTGTGTCCGCCTCTTCCAATCGTTTTCAGTAAAATTTACCATGTTCATAAAGGAAAATTGTAGAAGACTTTGCCTATCTCATACATCCAACCACAAAATGACCAATCTCTTCAGTTAATCTTATAGAGCCGTGATTTCTTTTGGGATTGAGAGTGAAGAAATTTCGCGTTTCCTTCTCTACGGTGATTTATTCATTAAAAAAATGGCAGTTGAAATTTCTGGGGCACATAATGAGGAAAGAGAGATTGAATGTGATGCACACAGGATAGATTGAAGGTAAGATGACGAGAGAAAAGCAAAGTATAACCTACCTGGCAAAGTTTGAATAAAAATAGATGACAGATCAGGGTTTAGGAGAAATAATAAAAAGACAAAACTTCTTAAGGGCCTGCTTTTATTTCTGGAACAAAAGCAAAGATCGAAAGCGTGTTTTTCTGATTTTGTTTGCGAATTTAGGGTTGAGTTTCTTGAAAAGTTTCGGAAAGATTACCACTTGGAAAGTCATTCCTTTGACTATTTCTACATGTAGCCAAAGGAACTCTCCAAGATTACTACATTTGAGCTCCGATTTCTACTAACATCGATGAATATCTTTCTTCCCTATGGAATGAGTCGAGGCGTTGCTTGCAGCAAGTCTTAAAGCTAACCTCTTCTTTGGGCCGGATAGAATATAACTGTGGCAAGGGCCCTTAATTCATCTCGATTGTCCCTACTGTACCAAGGGCACTAACTCATATTAAGACTATATATAGACGAGGGGATTTTTCTAAAATGCTACATCTTCAGGGCTTGCGTATTTAATCCATTAATGCCCACCGTAAAGGAAAACTAAAAATAAAAGACCGGCTTTAAATATAGGTTTATAAGAAAATATATGTAGATTTCTACCAATAATTTATTCATATTTATCGTCCTTTTCTTGGGAGGCGGGACAAAAATTAGTTAGCGTTACGGGCATTTATATAGAGAGTGTGTTTTAAAAAAACACGTAAAATCAATTGAAGCAATTACAGAAATTTATCTATCAGGGAAGTGTACTAGCTAACGACTGTTCGGTTAAACTCTCTTCCTACGGGCGGGAGGAACCCGAAGGAGGCTACGCCGAAGGGCGGAGTCTCCTTCGGGGAGGTAAAACCGGCTCTGAACCCGTTTATACGGGTTCAAATGGGCTATTTTTTGGCCGAGCCTAATGGCTCGGGAATTGCCCACGTTAAAAAGGCCTTGTGCCACATGACACCCTCGTGGGGGGGGGGGGACTGAATATCGCTAACGATGGAAATTCAAGCACAGAAATCCAAAAGTTCGTAAGAATAGGGTAGTGGGTCTTCCAGTAGATACGTTTGACTATCATCTGGTACACACTCCTCTGGGATATTTTGAACAGGGGAAGATGTTTATCTTTTGTTTCTTGTTTAGGATTAGGTTTCTGGTTCATTCTAAAGACTTTTCTTTCTCCACTTCCTTTGGCCCCTTGCGTTTTGGTGGTATTATCATCTTGCTTGGGTCAGTTCCTCTTACTCTGTAACTCTCTACCTCGAGTGACTCATGGGTCTTGTAGAGAGTGTATGCCATTTTAAAAGTGAAAAAGGAAAAAAGAAATTAAGCAAAGAATAAAAGGTGCTACTTTGGTTTATTTACGTGTCATAAACTTTGGCATGTGATTTATACTTTATATTGCGATCTACCTGTCATGAATGTACTTTGGCATGCGATCTATTTTTAGCTGATGTATGTGCTGTTTAGTACTAGAATATTATTAATAGAATTTTTTTAATATTTTAATTACATGTTCTCTATGTTATATAAATGCTATCATTTTACTATGTAGATATCATATATTCAAGGAAATCGTTCTGATGAGCTGTTCTTAGTGACTCGACTGCAATTTAAGCGTGCTACGAGATTGACAGCTAGGACTCATTGTTTTACTGTTGAACTAGCTAAATGCAACCGTCAACTCTATTCTAATAGTTTATTTATGTTCCGGCACTTATCAGCTGTGAAATTACCTTCCGATTTCTTGCTTCCTTGCCACCTACAAACATCGAAAAGTTAGGAATTTAATTAAAAATCTGTACATTGTAGACAATTTAGCCAATGTACATGCTTTTTATCGCTAGAATATAAATAGCAATAATTTTTAATATTTTCATTTCATTTTCTTTGTTATATATATATATGTGTGTTAGAATATGTTTTACTACGTAGGTATCGTTCCAAAATAAAAACTTGTAAAGTGTAGATATTTTTCCTTGTAGATAACAAGCCAAAAAGATTTTAGAAGGAACTGGAAACCCAATCCT